CTCCCCACCCCCTCCCATAGTGTGTCTCTGGTTTGTTGATTGTGATTTAAAAAATAAATAAATACTTATATATTGCACCATATAAAATGCAAAATAAGCAAAAAGCATTTACCTCTGGACAGACTAGAAATCCAAACTGTGATGTAAAAAGGATGAAATTCTGCCTATCAGTTACTACATGATTGCTACCACTGGTGGTACATGGAAGTCAAAATAAGCAGTTTCTAGAAGCTCAGTGAACGTTTGTCCAGAATGTAGCTATAATAATCATGTGAAAACCATCCCAAACCAAACACTCAACTGAGTGTTTCTAAAGAGGAAGAACACAGGGAATGACAACTTGGAGTTGTCATTCTGGGCAAGCAAAGCAGCTCAGGGTAGCAGTTAAGAACGTGAACTAAGGATCCAGACTAACCAGGCCTACCCTCTGCTCTGGCATCTCCTGGCTGTGTGAGCAAGTTGCTGTACCTGGGTTCCCTTGTGTATCAAATAAGAATGAAAATGATAATATTCATCACAATAATATATAAATGTATACCTCTGTTACAGTGTGAAAATTTGAAGTATAAAGAATATACATAAATAATAGTAACAATTATTACTAATTAATAATGTAATGTTTATTACATTACTAAACGCAGTACCTGGAATGTATTAAGTATAAGCCATGCTTGTTTTTATTGCAGTGTGTATCTGGAGCATTTTATGTGTCTAACATGGTCAGTCTCAATTGAAATGCTAGTCAGTGTGTGCAAAGCAAACAGAATACTCATCTCCAGAGTCTGTTAGGAATTCAGGGGTGGGTGCTGACTGGATGGGCCCAGAAGTATGTCAGTGGAGGCTGTGTTTGTACACTTCTCCAATGCGTTCTCATAGCCCTGGGTAAAATTGAGCTTCTCCAGAGAGCGTGGCCTTAAGGGCAGTCACAGGCCAAGTAGGGGCAGATGCTTACTGCTGGCTAGTAATGTACAGATGTCCTCTCTTTTCTTTCCTCTCTCTAGTCTGGCACTTAGCTTTTAAATTAACTGGCCTAAACACCCTAAATCCACTGGGGGGCTGGGGGAGACCCTCCACCAGCTGTTCATAGGATATTCCAGGGGAAACTTAGCTCTTACTGAAGCCCTGAACCTAGGTCCTAGGTGAACTATGATGTGGAACTCTTCCCTCCTTCACCACTCCCTGCATCTCATTTCTACACACACTCCCCTGCTCAAAAGTTAACTCTCCAACTTCCACACCCTATATAGAGTCTGGCAGCAGCACGGCCAGCAGGCCACAGCAGGTGCAGGCACTAGGCAGCACTGGCCAGGACAGCTCTTCTGCAGTGATGGAAATGTTTTATATCTGCACCATCCAAAGTGGGAGCCATTAGCCAAGTGTGGCTACTGAGCATTTGAAATGTGGTTGATGTGCAAGGGAAACTGAATTCTCAAATTTTATTTAATTTCAAGAAATTTAAATATTCATGTGGCTAACAGCAATCACATTGCACAGCAAAACTGTAGACACAACCTGAGTCCAAGCCCCGGTCCTGTATTTTCTGGCCCCATGACATTGGGAAAGTGACTTTAATTTTCCTGGTTTCAATTTCTCCTTCTATATAGGAGTAATGTGTTACTTACTCTTTAGTGGTGCTCCAAAGACAAAATGAACTCTTAAATTGAAGCACCAGGATAGGACATGATCTAGAGTAAACTTTCAGGAATGTTAGCTATTACAGGCATTAAAAAACACTTAATTATGTTTTCCCATGATTCAGCTATGTTTGTTCTTCTTAGCGTATTGACTGGTTGAAGTAATCACACCAAAATCATGCTCAGTGATCCCTTGAGAAAACATCAACCAGTAGTACTGGATAGAAATATTATAAAAGCTACTCTCAACTGCACCTTGGGGAAATTCACTGCTAACCATGCATAGCTGAGCCTTGGAGAAACATACCTTAAACCTTTTTCATTGAGATATCTTAATCTGTATGTTTTTCAATTACTGAGTCATAAGAAAATTTCTTGAAGCAATATCATATTTTGTTCAGGTGAGGTTGAATGATTTGGGCATTGCCTGAAATATCTGACATGGATATTTTATAAATAAAGGGTCACCAACAATCACTTACCAAAGCAGGAAATCAATCTGATAGTTTTTATTGAATAGCTGCTCTGTGCTAACTACAATGGAATCCACGAGAATAGTATGACATAATCTCTGCTTTTCAAAATTTCTGTTTAAGAATCTCTGCTTTTAAGAACATTTTAGGAGATGTAATCTTTTCAAGACACAAAGGGCAGAAATCTGCAGCAGGATAAGTGCAGTCGTTGTTTGGAAGAGGAGTTCAATGTTGCTAGAAATGGTTGGGGGAACTTTATAGACAGATCATAAAAACCAACAAAAGAGCATTGCTCATCTTCCAGGTCTCAAAAGGAAGCATTTCTGGAAAGCATGCTTGTGGAGGCATTGCTTAAGTTAGGCTGGTGTGCAAATTATGCATGAAGTTCCTTTAGATTCAATTCATTGGACAAATATTTATTGAGTATCTAATATATGCCTGGCGGCTTGTCATTTGCTCGGACTTGCATAGTTGAAAACTTCATCTGGGGTGGGGGATCTGTTTTATGCATAGCAACTACAAACCCCAATATTCATAAACCAGAATGACCTAGAACTTGAAGATGTTAATTTACATGGTTATCAGGAGAACAATTCTTACAGAAATGTCACTGTCTAGGGGTCATTTGAAGTCATTGTGAGTGGGCTTTATGTTTCACGCCTTTCGGTTTCTATGTACTTTATTATGAAAAAATTCCTTTTAAAAGGCACATCAGGGATTTCCTATTTCATGTTCTGAGGAGTAACTTTGAAATGTATATTCTAAAACTGCAGTATCATATAATTCTCTCTTAAGTGTATACACCTCCATATTCAGCAGGATACCTAAAATAGAGAATTTATTTAATGTTAGAGAGCTGTGACCCACATCTCCCCCCTCACACACACAAAAAGTCTTCATGATTCATAAGTCAAAAAGAAAGAGAATGAAGGAATAAAATAAAGAAAAGTCTTAAAACAGAAAATCAGCTTATTGTCACCCCTTTCCATCTAGAAATATTGAGTCTCCCAAGACACTCTCCCTTCAAAGTCTTGTGACTACAAGTGTGGTTCCTGGACCAGCAACTTCAGCTTCATGTAAGAACCAGAATCTCAGACCTAACCAGTACTAATTTAGACCAACTAAATTAGAATTTGCTAAATCTGCGTTTAACAAGATTCCCAGGTGAATAGATATGTGCATGATAAGTTGAGAAGTGCTTTTCTCAAGAACATTAAGATATTACTGAATTAACTTGCAAACATGACTCCAGTTCACTGAGCCTGGCATCCTCTGCTCCTTTCACAACTAACTACATGTCAACTGGTCCTGCATCACAGACAGAAATAATGTTTTCATGCTGACAGTCCCTTTTCCTCAAGCAAATACTGAACACCCATTTAAAAAATATCAGTTAAAAGAGATAATAAACTGCTTTCTTACCAGGTCACCTACACGAACATAAACTCATCATTCCATTTGACTGCTTCTTTTTTTAAATTAAAGCATGAGCTACAAATGCAGCCTAATAAGTATAATAAACAACTAAATCACAATGAGAGGAGAGCAGAAAATATTGAGGAACAAAAATATATTGCGGTCAAGAGATACGGAGGGGACAGCAGGGTGTGAGCACCCGCCCCTCTTCTTCCTTACTGCTATAGGTGCTCTTCTCACACTACTGACTGCCTACCTGACCCTGGCAAGACCTCCATGCTTCAGGGGGATAAGCTGAGCTGGTAACAGATCCCTACATCAGGGACCCTCATTTATAAAACACTGTCTAGGCCAAATGAAATTAAGTCCACTATTACCACAACTGGAGGCATTCAGTTTCTAATTAATATTAAAGTTTTTTAAAAACTGGAGTACAGTGCATCTTTTGCTTTGGAAAGATGGATGATAAAAAAAATAAAAATGGATCTAGCTTACAGTTGTGGCCCTTTTGTAATTATTAGCCACAAGCAACAACCACTCCCTAAGAAGATACAAAACGATTGTTCAAGAAAAGGTTGCTGCTCCTTTGTAAAAGCAAATTTATAAAAACTCAGGGCCTCCCTGGTGGTGCAAGGGGTTAAGCACCACACTATGAAGCAATCCTCAGCCTCTGCAGCATGAGTTCAATCCCTGGCCGGCCAGGGAGAAACCCACATGGCACAGCAGACCTCTCCTGTCTGGTCTGCTGCTCCCCTCAGCAGTGTGTTTCAGTCAGTCCACCTGTTCTGTTCCCTGCTCTGTCTCTGGTGACTTCTCTAACTCCCTGCATCTCTGGCCTGTACCGCTCTTGTATGCATAAATAAATAAATCTTTAAAAAAAAAAAAGCAAATTTGTAAAAACTCAAACCCAATATCAATTCTGACTCAATCATTATAATGAATGTTAGGTAATTTAATATAAGTTAAATATAATCATGTAACCATCAGGAAACAAATAGAAAAAGGGCCCAGATGATAATTTTGTATTGATAAGTGTTTAGCAACTGGTTCTTTGAGGGGGAAAGTCCTAACAATAGCATTTCCTGATTTCTGTGACATAAATGCTCCCAACACAGTCATTTTCATTGTGATGTCACTGAACAGAGCTCAGAAGAAATGCATGCAATTGGTTCTCAGGATGCAAAAAGCTGTCCTGGCACCCTGCTGTCAATAACTAAATGTGCAGATTTTTCTACTCATCACTAGATTTAGCAACATTTAATTTCTTGTCCACATTTGTATTTATATATACCATGAAAATTCTAGTGGTTCCACTGTTAATCTTAAAGGTCTCAGGGCCAAAGTTTATACTGCAGATGGATGTCTGTTTTCCCATTATTTTATTTTCATCCTATCAGAAAAAGGCTTGCACTTTTACCCCTGCACATCAATCACTCGCAGGCTGATATTTTTAATACCTGCTAAAAATGGGGAAGTCCTCTGTGTGGCTTATGTTTCACTTTCTTGGATCTCTTCCCCCGAGTTTCTGTCCCTACATTAGATGTAATCATGAATTCTGATGATAGACATGAGGCAGTAGCCAGCAATATGCACACTTTGAGGTACTTCATCACAACATATGGCAGCAATATTCCTCAAGATCGGCAGGTAGATTAAAGTTGAAGTGGTTACCTCAAAAAAAATAATTTTAAGGCAGACATTTATAGATATACAAAGCAGGCTTCTTAAGCTATTTGTCATTGATGATATTTTAATCCCATAATAGAAAACAATATTACTTGTGAATAAAATTTAAATTATAAATCAGTCTTAATGCTATAAATCATGTTCAGCTAATTAAACAAAATCTATGATGCACTTACTGTAATATGCATGAAGATGTGATTTCTCATAACGTTAACTTACACAGTATCTCCCAATCTTTCACAGAAATACTAATGATAGCATGTTAAAAGAAGACAATTCACGAGGCTACTAGAAATTAAGGTTCTCATAAAACCCAATGCCAAAATCTGGGATAAACAAAATGGTTATAAGAAATATGGACATGAATTTAGAATATTGATCCAAGCATCAGCTCACAGCATTAACTAGCTTTGCTTTATGAAAAAGGAACTGCATGAATAAGGTAGGAAAAATCAACTACAACCTTGCAACCTAACATGGTTCTTAAACAGACATTAAGAACTGCTCTGAGAAATAATTCCTCTATAATGCTTAGAACAGTACTTTGCAGGGTGGAGATATCTGAACTCCTAAAACTACTAATTCGCACTTCCACTGGCATTCTGCTACATCTTGCAAGTCAGGAAATTCTACAAAATAAGTGGGAAGAAAACAGGGAGAGGGGGTAAGAGAGGACACAATTCAAAATTGTATGGAACATTCTAGAAATTTAATTATGGTTTTTAATGTTCCAGAAAATTGGGCTATAAAATTAGCACCTTCACTGGATTTGTACCTGCTAGAAAAATGGAAATTTATCTAGACTTGTATATGTGAATCTTCTCTCTTCTAACAAGGAATCTGAGAAAGGCATCTGATCACTGAACAAACAGTAAGAAGCACATAGGTCAAATTAATCACCCTATTTGTTGATAAGTACTAAGTCCAGATAGATGTTATCTTTAGCAATGATGAAGACAGAGGAAGTAATAGAGAAGAAATGTCTCAGTGCAACAAAACAAATTATAAAGCTTCAGGACAAAAGGGGAAAGCAACAATCAGGAGATCCAGAGAGAAGCACATGTCCATGATATTATTAAGTGCAAGATCCAAAAGAAAATTTTCATAATGTGTAAAAGACATGCCCTCTATGAAACAAAACAAGTCATTTCAGGAGTTGAAATGAAATGAAAGGAGATGAATGAGATAATGAGAAATTATAAAAACACAGTAGCAGAATTTAAGATCTCATTGAAAGAGTAAAAAGCAGAACTGAAGCTGCAGAAAACTGATGGGGTGATGTGAGAATTACACCCGAAAAGCCCTCTTAGAATCTGGGGAACAAAGACAAATATATGTAAGTAATGAGAGATGACTGCAGATATGGAAGAAGGAGGATGGAGAAACAATATTAAGTTATTCAGTGATATTAGAGAGCAGCACAGACAGAACTCCATAAAGAAGAAATGAGAATAAACTGAAAATGATGTCATCAAAACTGTAGTTTTACTGTAGTTTAATAAAATCCTTGAGCTGAGAAAAAACAGTACATATATTTTTAAAGGACTTTCTAAAGACCAGGAAAAAAATCAGGTAAAGAAATACAATTTCTAAGCAGATGTGACAATATTTCAAGTAACCAAAATAAATATTTTTTAATACTATAAATATGTGAACATGGTTACTAATACCTGAACAAACTTACCTTTAAAAGACTCTCTTCTAGTGGGTTCTCCCAAAAGCATATTCTGAGACAAGGGTGTGGTGTTCCAAGGTAGCACCTGTAGGAGTATAGGAACATGAATCAAGGAAGAAAAGGGAATCATCAAAGTGATCTTTACTGAGCTGGATGCAACTATGAGCAGTGGGGACTCAGTCCTAATGGAGAAATATAAGACTACTGAGCACACACACACCAGGCTCTCCACCCAAGGTGTCAGGCAGCTGGGATATTTATCCTGACCTGTCTCCATCCTCCGCCCATATGCTAGGAGAAGTCCTCGGGCAGAAAGTCACAGGGACTTGTAGTGGATTCTGTTGGTACATGCTAGAATGGCTAGTTCTTGGTGATGTGAGGAGGTGACTGAAAGTATCTGCTGACCGTGATCAAAACCCTAGTTAGTTCAGACTTCCATACAGCAAAAATGGTGATAGGTAGTGAATTAATGTCAGCAAAGTTTTGAAGATAACTGAATTTATATTAATATTTGATATCCACCCAACTCCTTTAAATGCCACAGCAGACATCTACACATGCAAACCTCAAAAACTGTATTGTCCATGCACCGCTCTTTTAAAAAATTAGTTGAAAATTTCCATATAAAAATAGTTGATCCTACTTACTTAATTTCCTTTCCTACCTAATTCCCTTTGAAATTATGAATTAGAAAAACAAAAATGTTCATCCTCAATATAAGATAGAAAATAAATCCATTAATCCAGAAGCTTTGAAGAATTTCTACAAGGAATAGCAAAAATAGGATCTGGCTTAGGAAAGTACTACTCCCAAGGTCCAATACTTAAAATATGTAGAGTGATTCATTCCTAAAGAAGAATCCCAGGGTGGCAGGTAGCAACTGAAATGACTCACAATGTTTTCCATCTTCTGATATTCATGTATCATGTCTACATGTGTTTTGGAACTAGTGACCTGCTTCTGACAAATAGAAAACAGTAAAAATTATGGGCTATCATTTCTAAGATTAGGTTATGAAAACTGTGACTTCTGACTTGCTAGTCCTCTCTCAACTGGTGCCATTTTTGCCCTCTAACTTGCTCACTTTGCCGTTTGTAAGATGCTCTATGAAGAGAGGCATATGGCAAGGACCTAAGAGTGGTCTCTGGTCAACGTGAGGAATTAAAGCCCTTCGTCCACTAACCCTTGAGAAGCTGAGCCCAGACAACAATCATTAGCGAGCTTGGAAGCTGCATGTTGAGATGAGTCTGCAGACCCTGCCTACACCTTGACTGCAGCCTATTAGAGTCACTGAAGCAGAAGACCCAGTTAAGCTGCCTGGATTCCCTCAGAAACTGAAATAATAAAAATTGTTTTAAGTCATTAAGTTTTAGAGTAATGTGTTACAAAGCAATAGATAAAGCACCCAGAAATCCTCCCACCCCTATAGGGAAATTTAGGACATGGAAATAAGGAAGCAGTGGACAAATGGAACCAATTCAACACCTGCACCTGTGCTGCACAAACTTTCCTTGCAAATCAGCAAGGTGTTCAGTGGTGAATCTATTACCACAGCGAGTCCCACTGGATGGTGTCCTGCCAGTCAGAGGTCAGCTTCAGCTCAGTACCCACAGCCACGTGTGTGTTGCTAGCTTACCCAGGGCAGGGCAGTGGAGGTGGTTCACTTCCTGTGAAGGCAATAAAAGGGTACAATTTAGGTACAAGATTATAAATAAAGCCAAATAAAAGTCGGTCTGCTTCTTACTCACCCCATGCACCGGCAATCTTAAACAATGTGATGAAGTATTTCTCCCCACTGGGGCAGACAGTCCTTACCACTTGCTCCCCTTTAGACTGCCAGGACAGAGATCTTATAACTGCTTGGCAGAATGAGGCTCCCTGCTAATCATAACCTTCCTGATAATTCCATCTGCATTTTTTGTGGAAAACTGGATCCCTTACCCAACACAGATGCCTTCACAGATCAGAGTGGCAAGAAAGAGTAGGCGAAAAGGCAGTGGTAATGGCAGGCTCTGGATCAAAATAAATGAGACCCTTAAATCTGACTTTCAGGTGAGCACCAGCGCCGCGCGCACAGACTGCCTCTGATCACCTGGCTGGGAGAGTAGTTATTCTCATGCAATCAAGAAATATTTGAGTGCTATTTTGAGCCGATATCTTCCTGGATAGAGAATTGGTAATTCATGGACACAAATAATTGCCTTTGTGTTTATATTTGAGTAGAAATATACTGAAATAAATTAAAAAGTAAAATATATATCAATGATAAGAAGTGCTATGAAGAAAACTGAAGCAAGGAATGGAGACAGCATGCATCAGGATAGTTTTTGCATATTATAGTAAGGAGCTCAGATAAAACCTCAATGTGTGTATAGAGTGGGGGAGGTACTTGAATGAAGACTTGGAAAAGGAAAAGCAAGCAATGTGGATATCTGAGGAAAGGACAATCCAGGTAGGAGTATGATCATTTACAAAGTTTCTGACATTAAAGAATTCTTGGAGTATTTGAGAAACAACAAAGAGACCAGAGGGCTAGAGAATAAACGAGGGAAAATAGTAAATGAAGGAGGTCAGTGACTTTCTGCTTCTCTCTTCCTTTCATCACAAGTTTTCTGCAAATTCCTTTCATCTATAGAATCTAAAGCTGAACCCTGCTGGCAAAGGTTTCTGGGAAGGGTAGTTCCAGGCATTCAACCCTTTGATACCAGGGAGAGAACACAAATGGGCAGGAAAAGTGCAAATGCCAATAGGCAATCTGGCACATTAATTTTCCCCCCTTTGCTTTCTAGGATCTGAACATAATTTATCAAAAATGACTTCTAAGACTTCAAGACACTTAAATAACCTAAAAGAATTAAAGGAATACCAAGCACCTGCATTTTAAGTCATGTTTTCTGGTTCAACTCAATTGCTTGAGCTTGAACAGGCCCCTTATCCTCTCTGACACTCAGTTTCCTAGTCTGTCTGGAGAAGATAACAATGTATCTCAAAGTCACACCAAAATGAAAAGGAGGATTTCCATGGTCATGGAAGGGGAGAATCAATATTATTTTCCTGCCGAAAATGATATGTAAATTTAATGCAATCCCTATCAAAAATTTCTTTTTCAAAGAAATTTAACAAAAAATGTTGAAATTTACATGGAACTATAAAAGTCCTTGAATAGCAAAAGCAATCCTGAGAAAGGGGAGAGAGGACAAACAATAGGTTTATTCTACCAAAAAATAAAATAGATATCAGCTTAATATATTATTATAAATATAAATTTGACAGTATATGGGTCTAATTCCAGATCCACCACCAATTATTTCACTTCTCCAAACATCAATTTTATCAATTTTTTATTTTATTATGTTTATTGAGGTAAAGTTGATTTATAACACTGTATGTTATAGGTTCACACCTGTAAAGGCAGGACTGGCCACAGTGCAGGTTTTCTGTAATCCAGCAGACCGGGCAAAGGAGGAGTCAGAGTCCTCAGTGGCTTTGCAGGTTTCTATTGGGATTACCAGGTACACGGCAGGCAGGGGTGCTGGGGGGCCAGAAAAGTGACAGGCCTCCCAGCCCCCAGCAGGTCTTCACCCTGGACTCTCCTGCCTTCTCTCGGCTTCTGCTGCTGCTGCTGGCGTTACCGTGACGCCGCCCTTAAAAGCCCAGTCTTAGCCCAGGTGAATCCCATCTACCTATGCCCACACCCTATTCCAGGTGCCCGCCATCAGGCATGCATTCAGGACCTCAAGGATCCATCATCTATCCTGATGGCGGGAGGGCAGAAAAGCCTGACATTTTCTTTACCCTACAACACCTCTACAAATATATGTGATCATACCTCTCCCACAACCAAAACCTCAGTGTAGTACCAGCAAGCACAGGGCAGGTTCTTGATCGATTCAGGCAAATGAGCAAAGGAGAGTCCTGTAGTCCTCAGTGGCTTTTTTTAGGCTTCAATGTTCTTGCCACACCTATTGTGGGGCAAGCCGGAAGGCTGGCAAGGCAGGGAGAGCAAGAGGCCAACCCCCAAGCAAGTCCTTTACTCTTTCTCTTTGGACTCTCTCTGGCATCATATCCAGGTCCTGCCTCACTGTAGTCACTTGTCCACCCATCGCTTTTCTGCCATAGCTGTTCTTTGAGTGATGCCACCCTTACAGCCACAGCCTTTAGGCTCAGGTGTGCCCACTTATGCATGCCCACATCATGCTCCAGGCAGCCACAACCAGGCATGCATGCCCCACACTCCCAAGTGCCTCCTGTATTAGCACAATCAAGGCCGCAGGTGATAGCCACAGAGGCCAGCCATGTAAAAGCCTGACCATTTCATTTATCCTACACCCAATAACTCTCCACCAAAGTGCTTTAGGCCTTGAAGGGTAAGGTAAAAAGTATCAGGGTTTTCTGCCCTTTTACCATTAGGATAGATGACAGAACCCTGTGGTCCCAAATGCATGCCTGATGGTGGGTACCTGGGATAGAGTGTGGGCATATGTAGCTGGGATTCACCTGGGCTGAGACTGGCTTTAAAGGGTGGTGTCATAGCAGGAATCTAGAAAACTTAAATAAGGGATCTGGAAAATGAATAACTATAAGAAAGTGAAAATCAAAATCAACAAAAAACTATGAACCAGAGACACTTTTTGGGGGGTGGGGGCCGGGAGGGGAGGGATTGGGGTCAGAATGGGGCATGTGCAGTTGTATGGGGGAATATAAAAATAAAATTTATTATTTAAAAATAAATAAATAAATAAATAAATAAATAAAGGGTGGTGTCACGGGGACACCAGCAGAAGCCGAGAGAAGCAGAGAAGCAGAACAGAAGCCAAGAGAAGAAGAAGCAGAGCTGCAGAGCCCACGAGAAAATGCCGGAGAGCCCAGATAGAGTGAAGACTTGCTGGGGGCTGGGAGGCCTGCCAGCCTCCTGGCCCCCAACACCCCTACCTGCCATTTACCTGGTAAATCCCAATAAAAGCCTGCAAAAGCTACTGAGGGCTCCAGGACTCTTTCCTCCTTTACCCGGGTCTGCTGGATCAGAAAACCTGCCCTGTGTCATTCCTGTCCTTACAGGCCTCCTCTGTTTTTTGCTCCATTCCCTTCCCTCCCTTCTGGTAGCTTCAGTTCTGCAATCAGATTTAAAGAGTACGTTTTGTTTGTTTTGTCTGTTCCTTTGTTTTGTTTCTTTATATTCCACATATGAGTAAAATCATCCAGTATTTGTCTTTCTCCTTGTGACTCATTTTACTTAACAAAGTCCTCTCCATTTCTATCTATGTTGTCAGAAATGGCAAGATTTCATCTGGTTTATAGCTGAGTACTTTTCCATTGAGTCAGGCCAGATGCTCACCAAGCAAAGCCAGGGAAGGGTTGTGTGTTTCAAGCTGGCCACCAGCCCCAGGTGCTTCAGCTCTATCCCACCCAGCTGCTGTTGCTCTTTGGGGAGACAGCACTTGCCCAACTGCAGTGAGCTGGGAGCACAGGGGAAGTCCTCGGTGTATTAGTGGGGAAGGGAAGTGTACCTCTCCCATTGATATTGTTCCTGGAGGGACCATTTCTCAGGCTTTCCTGAGAATAACACCCAGTGTTATTTTGGGGATTAAATGAGATAATGGAAAGATGATACTTACACTAATACACAGTAATTTCTCAAGAAATACTAATTATCATGATCATATAAGGCATCAATGGGTCGAATTTTTTCCAAATTTCCTTCACACCCTAACAATTCTTGGTGCTGTAGGTGGATCTACAATGTAATACATTCATAATCTGCCTCCTTTTAAGTAAATTTCTTTCTAACACACTATGGCCAGAATACAAGTTAATTAGGAGATGTGATTTGTGAATATATTTTTGCATTCAATGGGTTGCCTTTTTTTTCTTTTTTCTTTTTTTGCTTTATGGATGGTCTTGATGATTTCTTAAACACTCTGTTTAACTGTAGACAAGCTCCACCACTAGAATTCCTCCTGTCTCCTCCCTGGTATCCAGACTCTCACCCAGATACTGCTTCCAGCCTGTCCCCAATTGCCATTCATATCAAGGTAGAAGAATAAGAACTGTCAACTCTTGACATTTTTAAATGACAGCTGTGCTTTAGACACAATTCTGCTCAAAAGAACCCTTTTATAAAAGTGGGAATAAACATTACAAATAGACGGTATAACACATTGGTCATGAGACCATGTTAACATCTTTTAAAAGGAAGTTTAAAATTGTATTTTAACCTCTAGATGATGCTAATTAAACATTTTTTACCAAGTCAGTTAGCAGCTGGTTTCATCGATTTTATAGTCTTTTGTTTTTGCCTTTGTTGGGATCCTGACAGAAAATGAGCCTTTTTCCTCTTAGTCATTCTTTCTTAAAGTGTAACATTGATAGATTATTTTCACTGAACCTTTTCAATTTAAAGTTTTTGACTCCTTTCAGCCAGGGAAGCCCAAAGTTCAACCTTCTGAACTTTACATAGTGGCAATTTATTTTTTAGTGGATTTCTTCTGACTGAGCATCCCACTGTTGTAATTCTCTGCCCAGGATGTCTTCTGGAAGAAAATGCTAACTTCAATTTTTCATCCAAGGACTGGAAACTTTCTTGTCATGTAGATGGAGGCCTCCTCATAACCCAGGCACATCTTGCCACTACTGAAGTTGCCGAGTTTTATCCTGATGGTG